AAAACACAAAAAAAAAGAGAGAGAGAAAGAAGACACTGATATAAAAAAGAAAGACGACACTCACGATGTCATCCTGTCGCAAAACGCCGCTCACGATGTCATCCTGTCGTTTCGAAGTCCTTCGCCGCCATCCACATCCGGGAAGGTACTCTGATCTCGCTCCCCGCGGAAACGGGGGACGGGCATCACCGCGCCCAGAGCACAGAGCATTACGAGTACAAGGCAGCTTTAAGAACACTTTCTTTCCCTACAAAGGGAGGAACAGCAATCCGTCCGAACAAAGGGGTCTTTACAAACTACAGGCACTCGTAGGTATTCTTTTTTTTTTCCCCTCGTAGGTATTCTTGCCATGGCTCGTTCGCTTGAGGGGTTTGGCTTTTGAGCATCTGCCAGTATCACTGGAAAAAACAGCAATTCCTAGACTCGCATTTTTCTAGATTAGGGGTTTGTTTGGCTTTTTTTTTTTTTTTTTCCCTCGATTTCACCTCACACTATTCAGGCCGTGTGGTTAACTTCATGGCTGGGGAGACCACTTGAGGGGGGGCAAGGTCCCACTTGCACAAATTAGGAGATTTCGGCCGTTGATCTTTGCTATTTCTACGGTCAGTTCGTGCAAGTGGGACCTAGCCCCGGGCATCCCTCTCAAGTGGGCCCTATGGTAGAAGACTCCAATACATTGGTGGGGAGAAAATTGTTTGGCTTTTCAGGCCGTGTGGTGCTGTTCATTAGGCGGTTCTTGGTTTGTGCAGTAGTTTTCAGACCTGAGGGGCAAATTGCATCTCAGTCCCAGCAGCGACTTGCATCTATACCCGGAAAACGACTGGTGGAAATTATTTGCATGCCGAGGACAGAGGTGGGCCCTAGTGGGTACCACAAAATTGCGGTTATAGCCAACTACCGGAATGCACAAATTATGAACATATCTAGGCAAAGTTATGGGCATATATCCGGGACTGAGGTGGACCGGCCAAACTATTCGTGGACCCCACTACCGGGGGCCGAAATTATGCTCATACCCAGCAGCCATCGGGTTCGTTTGGTGGGCATAAGCATAATTTCGTGGTCAGGCATCCCAGGCCCACCTCTGGATGTGGGTACACCTGCAATTTTGCAGACTAGTTTCTGGGCATGAGCATAATTTCATGGTCCGGAACAACAGGCGTGCAGGGTTGGGTACACCTGCAGTTTCATACAGGGGAAAAGTTGGGTACTACGAAAAGTTGAACGATGTCCGGGTATAAATGCAAGTTCACTTTGGGACTGGGTTTAACAGGTATTCCCATCTTTAAGTGGGGTACAGATGCAATTTTCCCTTTTTTTTTCAAAAGGTAGGCGGGTATCAGGACTGCGGTCTGGTTTTGGCCATTTCTGTAGCTGGATTCCACCCCCACACCCCTTTCTCTCCCTTCCTCCTTTATCCCGGTTGTTTGTTGAGGAGTCCCGGGCCTGTCTCTTATACACATCTAGATGTGTATAAGAGACAGGTGTGGCAGTTTCAGGCCTGTGACTCTTTTATTGAGGTGGTTTCCGTCTTTAGATTATACACCGATATCTGCACCTAAGTTGGGTATAGGTCCCAATATTGTCTTTGTCTTGTTCCTCCCGGTTGTTTGTTGAGGAGTCCCGGGCTCTCCTTTTGGAGTGCGTAATCAAATGAGCTGAGTTTGTTGTAAGATTCAAAAATGAAAAAAATAAATTATAAAAAAAAGGATTCAGGGCATACTGACACCAGGGCACTTTTAATGAGCTCTGGGTTTCATTGAGGATGAAACTGAGCTCTGGCTTCCATTGAGGGCAGATACATCCAGGCGTGGCGGCAATTGCCGTAAAAAAAAGATGCATCCAGAAAAGTCCTGGTGTAGTATGCCCCACACGGTAGTGTGACGAACCGATTTCTGCACCGCGCGATTTCCTGCGCGATAGCAATGAGGGGTCCTAAGCTGGGAAGGATGGGCCAACTACGAGAGATCAGGATTGGAAGGAAATTGCATCAGTCCTTCTTCGCCTTTCTGTGTTGCTTCTTTTCGGATGGTTGGGTTCAGAGCCGGGTGAGTCCCGGGACGATCGATTGATTGATTGGCTGTGTCTGTGGCGCGCTGCCGTGAGCGCGATTAATAACTGTTGACGTTGCTTTTTTTGTTTCGATTTTGAATTTTTGGGCGCGGACATCGTGTGGGAATTTTGCTTCGTTCTTTTCTGAATCTTATTTTTTAATTCTTTTTTGAATCTTGTCGAGCCCCGATGGCTCTCGAAATTTCAGACTTTTCTTTCAGAACTTGTGCTTTTCGCCTTTTCTGTATTAGATAGGAATTTTGGAATTTTTGCAATTAGGATTCTCTTTTGCCGCGCAGCGCTTACGCGCTTCTTCATGCGGTTGCAACGGAACTCTGATTAGTCGGCGCCTTTAATCGTGTGTGCAACTGTAATTTTGGGCGCGCGCCATTGTAATTGTATCTTTCTTCTTGTGTTTCGTTTTTCCCGCCGTGTGTGCAACTGTAATTTTGGGCGGGCGCCATTGTAATTGTATCTTTCTTCTTGTGCTTCGTTTTTCCCGCCCTCCTTCCTTTTTTTTTCTTTTTGTTGCGCCTTGGTAGCCGCGGTCTGCATGATCGGATCGATGCGTGGAGAGCGGGTACGTCCCCCACGTCGCGATCTGCCCATGCGGAACGTAGGCGTTCCCTCTCCTGATCTTCCTTTCCAAGTCATTGTAATTTTGTGTTCTTCGCGCATGCATGCACGCTATAAATTACGGCTACGCGATTAGTTAGCTCTCTTAACCAGCTAAGTGGAAGCTTGGGGTAGCGCGATCAATGAGGGTCGGCTCATGAGCGGAGTAAAAGGTGAGTTGAAGTGGGAGTCGGGCGACCCGACGAGCTGGTGCTAAACGCGCGGGGTTGACGCGGGCCACGACGGACTGTGGGCGTGGGCGAACCTGACGGGTGCGGGAGGACTAAGCGGGGTGACGACTTCGTGGGTTGGTGCGCAACGATGGACTATCCGCATCGGAGAGAGAGAGAGAGAAAGAGGGAGTTGAGGTTGATGAACGCGGATTTGCTGTTCTTTTGTCTTTTCTCCCTCTCTGCTGGTGTATATAAATTTTGATTTTGGATCAGGGCGATTTGCCCGTCTTTGTTTTCGGAATCTTGGCTTGGTTTTCTTTCGCCCATACTCGTTTTTGCGATTTCAATCTCTGATGTTGTGTGTTATGCTGCATGAATGAATGTCATGTCCGTTTGCTTTCCTTACGCCTGATCTTTGCCTTTGCTTATCATCTTGATGCACTCATGAGTAGGGTAAGAATTTTGCGTAGTCATCAATACTGCTTCCGTTCTTGTTTACCCATTGATTGAATTGTTGTGATCGTTGCATCTTGCATGCTCAGAAATTACGGAGTGATTAGATGATCGGGTAGCTGTTTGCCCAGAAACCAGCGAACGCCGCGCAGGGACACGCGTAAGTGCGATCTGATCTACGCACATACATGTGTCCCTGCGCGCCGATTCACAGCCAACCACACATAAAAAGGCTAACGATTGCGGAGATATTGCCTGATTGGATGTGGCCATCCTGTGTCATCAACGAAGCAATCATCTCGTGTGAGCACGTGTAAGCGCGACTCGATTCGCGCGGCCTACACGTACTCATATGCGGTGATCGCAATCGACGAAGGCACGCCCTTAGGAATTTCGCGACTCTACGATGACATAATTACACGCTCTGGGAGCTCAGATTCGTCGTACGACCCGGAGTACTTCACCCCTTGGATTGAGGAGTGCCTCCGACAGAGGTTTCCCTACCTAACCAAGAACCGACTATGTCCTAGGGAGTTCCACTGTGCCACAACCAACGATCCACGGTGCTCTGATTCCCCACTTCGGACCACACGCACTACTTCATTTCCCCCGGTTTTGTCGTTATCTCCACTAATTTCCCTCCCTTTCATCTTCTTCTCCCGTATTATCAACTCAGAGTCGTCCCGTGGAAGGCCATAGCCCCATACTGGCCCCGCACGCCCTGCGGAAATTGCCGGCGACGCGACAACCAAAGAGCCCCGGAAGCCCGAAGGCCTGACCCGAACGTACGACGACCGGCGCCACGTGGCGACATCAGACGGTCGGACTCACTAGAACCACACCCACCCCGGATGGACCTTTCGACGAACCGCTGTCATCAAAACAGACGGATCGAACGACCATGAATGACCCGCATATGCCATTTGCCTTATGACCGAAAGCGGTCCGCCCTCTCTGCCAAATTTCACCCGTGCCCCCGAAAAACTCTGCTACAGGAGATCTCAGTTCTGACCTGGGACTCCGCCCCCACTTTCCCAAAAATCCTTGGCACACCCCTTTTCGCACTTCCAGGCCCACACACCACCCGATCAGGAAGTCGCGCTGGGCATGAGGTTGGGCGTCAAAGTAGGACCTTTCTTAGCAAATTCACTGAATTGAGACGCTTATACAATCACACTCTGCTTCTCTAAAGCCGTACTACTGTAGGTGTTGCAATTGTCAGCAGCCTACCGAGCCTCTGCGGTTGGGAATTTGCTGTCATCTCCGCAGGTGATGGCAAATGCCTCCTTTTTGTTGCAAAATTTCAAGGATTTTTTCGCTATGGCTCTCAAAGATGCTTTTATTGCATTACCATGTCCCTAAAAAATCGGGCTTACACTTGCATGCCCCTCTCATGATAGTTCAAATTTGCCAAACGATAACCCTGGCATAACTTGGGCCTGACATCTGTTCAGTATGCCCCTACCCTTGCCCGTAATGTTTCCATGAAGACCCAGCAGGGTGAACATTCCGAGCTTGGATACATTTGTGATTTGCCCCTACCAGTATCAGCAGTCTCCTCACTGCGCCCTTAGCATTGGAAGCCACCAGTAGTCTGTGTGTGTGTGTGTGTGTGTGTGTGTGTGTGTGCGCGCGCGCGCTACCACAAATAGCAGCAATTGATCTTTCCAGAAAGGGTGGAGGTTAGTATTTCGTTTATTGTTGGTATTGTATTGCAGAAACTAGTTTGTCGATTATCTTTGTGAAATGTATGTTTATTGAATGAGAAAACCATATGGGTGGATGAGAGCTTGCAATTTTAAATGGCCAGTCATACTAGTTATGGGGCAGCAAGGAACAGAAAGTGCAGTATAACGACTCGTAAGTGTCTGCCATTTTTTTGTTTATGTTTTTAACTCG